TTTTATATATTGGTTGGAAAAAGTCACCTATCTCTGATCACTTTCGCATATTAAAGTGTTTCAAGTGCTGTTCGTTTGGTCATTCTGAAGCATCCTGTAAAGCTGATCTGTCCTGCCCAAGGTGTACGCGAAATCATAAAATCAAGGAGTGTAACTCGAGCGCCCTACAATGCGTAAATTGCCTGAACTATAACAAGGTATACAAGAAGATTCTACCAGTTGATCATTCCGCTAATTTTCCAAACTGTCCTGTGTTTCTCAATTATGTTCAAACTCTAAAAGAAAGGGTGAATTATGGCTAACACTATAAAAAGTGTCTTGAAACTATGTCACTTAAATGTGCGTTCTCTAACAGCTCACTTTAATGATTTTGCCTCTCTTGTTCAATATAAGTTTGATGTTGTAGCAGTTACTGAAACATGGCTGCATTCCAGTATTGACAGCACTGTAGTCAATATACTTGGGTATAATTTCTTCCGTAAGGACCGTGGGAGCAGAGGGGGTGGCATCGGTCTCTATGTTAAATTAGAAATTAGCACTAATCTTATCCCAGTTGAGCTCGATGACTTTATAAATCCTCTTGAAATGTTATACTATAAATTTAAACTGCACGGATCCAGTATGTTAATTGTTGTTATATATAGGCCACCACATTGCTCTATACATCAAGCCATCCAGTGTTTAGAAAATCTTATCTCATTTTTCACTCCCCAATATGACAACATTATATTCTTGGGCGATATGAATGTCGACTTGCTTGCTCATAACAACATCCTCAGCAGCTGCTTTGATTCATTCAATTTCATTCAAGTCATTGATGAGCCTACACGTGTTACAGCCTTCAGTTCCACATTACTTGATCCAATATTTGTTAGTGACAATACTATCGACAAAAGGTCAGGGACACTCAATGCAGACTCTATTAGTGATCATCGGCTCACATACTGTGATATTTACGTTTGTTATAAAAAAATAGAGCCTAAATTTGTAACATATAGAAATCTTAATAGCATTGATATTCAAAGTTTTAAGACGCAGATTGCATCAATGCAGCTTAATGACATTTATTTCGTGAATGATGTGGATATTAAAGTCTGTATTTTTACTGGCCGTCTTCTTTATCTATTCGATCTCTACGCTCCGCTACGCACAGTACGTGTCACAAAACTTGCTGCGCCCTGGCTCACTCCTAACTTGAAAATGATTTTTCAACTCAGAGATGAGGCATTCGCTGTCTATCAGCATAACAGATCTGATCAGAATTGGGCCAGCTACAAAGATTTGAGAAATTATGCCCTTGCATCGCTTAGAAGAGAGAAAAAAGCATATATGTCACGTTTCCGGAATCTTAACTCTAGTCAAGCTTGGAAACACCTGAGGAGGATGAATGTGGTAGCCCAGAAACATGTTGCGATACCTCCCAGTCTCCTTGAGCCTAACATTTTAAATAATTATTTTCTTTCAATTTTCCAGACAGCTGCAGCTGATCCAAATTTGATTGATAGTGTCTCTAACTCTTATAGCGATAGACGCCATACACCGGATGCACCTCTCTTTGCTTTTAAACTCCTTACTCAGCAAGACATCGTCAATATAATCTCTCACATTAAGTCTACGGCATGTGGCTCTGATGGTCTAACTTTAAATATGGTTTGCTTATGTTTGCCTTATACCATAGACCATATACGTATAACTCACATTATTAATGTCTGTCTCGAAACAGGTTACTTTCCTGCCAGTTGGCAAAATGGTATTATTATTCCAATAGCTAAAACTAATCATCCAGAACAATATTCGGATCTCAGGCCAATTACCTTATTATGCTTTCTATCAAAAATACTCGAAAGAGCTGTCTACTCACAACTAGTGGAGTTTTTCGAACAAAATCACTTATTTCCTCTACATCAGTCAGGTTTCAGAGCTGGTTACAGCACTACTTCGTCTTTATTACATCTTACTGATTCCATCATTCACAATTTAGACAATCACATCAACACCGTCTTGGTACTGTTAGATTTCTCGAAAGCCTTTGATATGGTCAATCACCAGATACTACTGAGTAAGTTATCTCATTATGGAATGTCAGATATACTTCTAAGGTTCTTTGAGTCATACTTGCTAAATCGTCAACAAACAGTGAAAACTGATCAGGGAATTTCCTCTTCTGAGCCAGTTCCTTCAGGAGTTCCTCAGGGCTCAGTATTAGGTCCCTTACTATATCTGATTTATACGATTGATCTGCAAGACTGTTTAGTCCACTGTAGTATGCAAACTTATGCAGATGATACTCAGTTAGTGTTTGGTTTCGATCCATCAAAGGTTGATGAAGTTTCTTTTAAAGTTAATTTAGATTTGGTTAACATCGGTGATTACTGTAACAAACACTGCTTGAAGATCAATCCCAATAAAACTACTGCAATGTTGTACTGTTCGAAGAACTCCTACCGTGAAATGAAGCAGAGGATTTGTGTTTTTTTGGATGAGACACTCATTCCTTTTGTGGATTACGCCAAGAATCTCGGTGTTACCCTTGATTTAAATATGAGATTCGATCGGCATATCTCTTTCTTATCTAGAGTAACATATTTGCGTTTGAAACTCCTCTATTCCAATCGATACATCTTGAATTTTAAAACCCGAAAAAAGCTCGCTGAAAGTCTTGTGTTGTCTGTCATTTCTTACTCTCTTGTTCTGTATTACCCATGTTTAGACTACGTCCACAAAAGGAAACTTCAGAAAATTCAGAACAGCTGTTGTAGGTTTATTTTTGGATTGCGCAAGTTTAGTCGCGTCTCAGATAAAATCAAAGAACTCAACTGGTTGCGAATTGATAAGTTATTTTTATATCTTTTGACCGTCTTCACGCATAAAGTTCTACTATCTAACAGACCAGCTTACCTCGCTAGCAAATTAGTTCACCGAGGTAGTTTTGTTACCAGAGCTCTTAGATTTAATGCTAATTTTAACATGCCTCCTCACAATACCTCGGTCTTGAAAGAAGTTACACCTCTAATGCTGTCAAGCATTACAATGCAGTCAACAGTAGCTATCGATCCAAACAGGTTGTTTATTTTAAGAAATTAATGAAAAGTCAGCTGCTGGAGTCCATTTAGTTCAGTTTTTCTTGTGCTCATGTGGTTTTTTTTTAATTTTTTTTTGTTTGACTATTTTCTACTATTTTTGTTTCAAATTTAAAACTCTCGCAATACTATCTGTATTTGTCTTGTGCAATCAATGTTGTCATTCTTATGAATTGTATATTTTTTTTGTATGTTATCATTTTGCTTATGTGTTTAAGTATTATTTTTTCCTGTTGTGGGGTTGGGTGTAAGAGTAGCCGTCTGGCTAAACTTCGCCTCACTGCAGTTAATAAAGGCATTATTATTATTATTATTATTATTTAATTATAATGTTGGACGATGATATGTTGGGTGGACCTAGCGAGGTGGTCTAAATCGACGAATCGACGTTGGGTATTTTTATATGCAATGACCGCTGGTGCCTTTTGTATTTTTTATGTCACGCGAGCCGCTGGTGCATTTTCCACTGTTTAGACACATACTATTCAAAATTTCATCTAGTTTTCGGTAAATATTGGGACAACTTTTCATAAAACAAGCCATTTACAATAAATTAAGACTTTTATTTTGCAAATTTCATTTTCATTTCAAATTACGTATTTTTCCCGAAAAAGGTACAACTTGGCAACCACGATCATCATTTATCTTATCTTTCAAGAAATGAACGTTATAAAATGGCCATTGTGAATTGTTTGTATTTTCAAATATTTCTTATAAACGCAAAAACTTTGATCTCATTGAAAATACGCCAAAAAAATGATTAAGGAATGTCAAGAAGGCATTAAAAAGTCACAAGACATCACCTCTACGCAGTTTACCAACTAAATACCATCATTTACGTATGTATTTTGATCTGTTATTTAAGCTAATCAGCTAATGTGTAACAACACGTCTGGTTTAGAACCTTTTTTTGCAAAAAACAACGATTTTTTACATCTATTTTCCTTAGTACTATACAGTGTATGTTATATTCTTATAATCTAGAGCATCCTTTTGTACAAAAAGCAAAAAAAGATATAGCATATAAAACAGTTCTATTCTAGAGTATTAAAACCAAAAATGCAACTTCGAAGTTCTATAAAAAAGCAAGCAGAGGGTTCCTTAAAGAAAAAATGATATTTTCGTAAAAGTTACATCCTAATCTTTCATTTTAAAGTAAGAAATGGAGTACTTATTTGCAATATGCGCTAAAACTTCCTGCCTCCTCAAATCGAACAATTTAACCTGCAAGACATGTGGTACCAGCAGGACGGAGCAACTTGGCACACAGCTAGCGAAACAATGAATCTTTTGCGAACAATATTTCCGGGACGTTTAATTTCTCGATTTGGTGAAGTCAACTGGCCACCAAGGTCACCGAATTTAACGGCTCCTGACTTTTTTATGTGGAGTTTTGAAAAATAGGGTTTATGCCAACAAACCAATACTGTAGTACAGCTGAAGAACAACATTACGGAAGCGATTGAAAATATTTCTCCCGAAACCTACCAAAAAGTGATGGAAAATGTAATCAAAGGGGCTTCAGGTTTGCGTGACTTCTGGCGACGGACATTTGTCTGATATTATTTTTCATACGTAATTTCTAACAAGTTTCAATGAACGACTAAGATGAAAAAAATGGACGTATTTTATTTCATTTCACAAATAAGATTCAAGATCCAAACCAGCTCATATTGGCCACCCTCCTCACAATAATGCCAAATATAATTAAGAATTTGGAAAAACATGGACAATGATTGGAATACAGTTAGGAATAAATATGCAATGTCTTTGAAAAAACAACAATTGATTGTAATATAGTTGAGAGTAACACGTCTGTGTCACTGTCATTGAAACAAACAACTTTTTTCACTGCAATTCAATAGACTACACATTAGCGGCATAATCGTTGTATTGTTGAAAAGAACTACCAAAATTATAGGTAATTAAACAAATAAAGAGCTTGTTCAACATATAAATATTGCGGCAAGTTGTTGACAGTTTTTTAAATGTGGAGACGCTTTACGCTATGTTCTACGTCCACTAGATTTGCTAGAGCCATGATACTTTGCGCATGACACCATCCTTGGCGACAGGATTAGTCTCATATGAATACGTGTAATCCATTACGCAGTTTAACCGCCCTACCGCAAATCCCATCTCTATAGTATTCAGCATAACATAAAATAACACAACCTCACTTTTCAGTCAATAACAAGAGATGTAGTTCCTAGTCTCTTCAGTGTTTGTTTTGTTTGTACAGATGTTTAGAACGTGATAATGTGAGCATATGTCTTTTTTTAATTCATGTTAATTCACAAAAACTTCAACCAGCAAGTTGAGAATATTTTATTAAAAATGACCAAAAGAAAATCAACCGACAAAACTCCTGAGGGCCCGTCGAAAAGGCCAAATACCGGTCATTGGTCTGGGGGCCTAGTAGCAGCTACTGAAGACCCAAAACTAGTTGTTTCAAGTGACAATCTTATAACAGTTATCAAAGATGGTTATCCCAAAGCCAAACATCACTACCTAGTTTTACCGAAGGAAAATATATCTAGCATAAAATCGATAACAAAAGATCATTTGGATTTACTGAAACACATGGACAAAGTGGGTAGAGAACTGATCCAAGATGTAGGTTTTAAAATTGGATATCATGCAGAGCCTAGCATGCAGAGGTTACATCTACATGTTATCAGTGATGATATGGATTCTCCCTGTGTGAAAACGAAGAAACATTGGAATAGTTTTACAACAGAATTTTTCATTGATTCTAAAGGTAAGCTACTCAAAATAGGATATTTGCAATATTAATAGATCAGCCATCAGCTGATTCCTCCTGTTGTTTTCACAGGCGCTTATATCCCAGGCATCAATGCCTTGAGATGTGGTATCTGAGTCGGAATGAAAAATTCTTATGCGATGTCTGTGGAAGCTTTTTCAAAATGGGAGTATTGATACTATCCAGCTTAAACCCATTCACGGAATTATAGGGGGCATCCGGCGTGCCCATTTCTAGTCACCTAAGCCTTCCATTTATAATGACATAGTGCATATTGCTGTAACTTGGACCGTGGCGCAATTATTTTACGTAACCTGACACGTGAAGATGTGCCCCTCCCATGGACACAACCCACTTTCTTCTGCTCTTTATCTGTCAAAAAGGCATTCACTCTCAGAAGCTTAGACATTATTGTTGCCTTGTCATTTTGACATTTATGTCAACATTTGTACTAAAAGAGAACGCTACATCAACGGTTATTGTACATAATGCAGACTATAGTAGTTGTAGTCACTGTTCTTGGTGGTTACGTCATCAACGCCATATGAAATAAGTAAACAGATCCAGTCTCCGCACCGTGGGCAGAAAGCTGGGCAGCCTAATCTTCAGCACATCTGCTACTCTCTCCAGTACGCATGAAATGGGTATGAGGGGACTGCTGTTTTCAATCTCTGTGGGCAAATTCCATTGATCGTATTTCCAGGCATTGTGTAATTTTGTATTGAAGATTGATAACAGGACAACTCAAATTGCACGCCGATGTCAAGTAAGTTGTGACTCTGACAAATATGATTGAAGGGCACTCATATGTAACGACAGAGTTTTCGAGACGGAGCACACAACTAAAAAACGTATGTCTTTGAGCTCACTGAACAAATGTTCACACACTTTGGTAGGTTGCATGTGTATGTATGAGGGAGATGGAGATATATAAAGGGATACTGGTAGTCTTAATTTGACCCGCCAAAAACGGTGACTACTACCATAGTATCAAAAGCAGCTAACTTAAAATCACCTTTCTGGAGTTGACTATCTAAGTCCTTGTTATTTTTTAGTTATAATAGATCAACTGCAATCTGGTGGAAAAATTAAATTACCTTCCAAAGATCAATGTAAAGAGTATATGGAAAGACCACTGAAGTGCCACAAATGCGACTATGTACCAAAACATATGCCAGACTTGAAGAAACATATTTTGAAACATGTAATTCCTTGACAACATTTTGCCTAAGTATTTTATTAAACTAACTTTTTATATAATCTGTTTTTAATCTGATATTATATTCCAAACCTTCAAGTATACCAGGCCAGGATTTATTGTTTATAGAGTCATCAGATTCGCAATATTTTTTTTACTAAATCAGGTACATACCATAACGAAGAGGTTGTATTTTGTTGACAAGATTTTTGAACTGTTTAATGTTAGAGGACTAGCAAACAGCACTTTTGGCAGATTGTTCCATAGTCTCGATACCCGTTTTGAAAATACAGTGTTTTAAAATATAGCAAATAAATATTGAAAATGTGGTGAATGCTCTTCGAAAATATTGCAAATATATTTTGAAAATTCGGTGAATGAAATGCAAAATATATAGTAGATACGTGAAAATATAATGTATGCGTTAAATTTGGATTAATGATGGGAATAATACCCCCATTAAAACTTGTCACTTACCTGTACACACCACTTGAAGTGAGGATCCTGCATCAACGCCCTATCCCTCAACTTCCTCTGGAACAGCTCGTGTACAGTCTCATCCAAAATTCCCTTCAACAGGATGTCTAAGTTCCCGAAGTAGTCGCTGACGTCATCTTCGTTCATCTGGGAACTGGTTAGATCAGGTTGTTTGCAAAAAGGACATGTGCAATCCATAATGCTCCTGTCTGATATCTGGACGGTAAAGTAGTTCTTTGCGCACTGTTGGCAGCAATAATGCGTGCAACGCAGCATTGACACTATCTAGATATTAATAGAAAATACGTTTTTTAACGAAGCTTAAGGTTATTCATAAATGCATGATCGTTCTCAGAAATGATCGGTAAACAAATGTCACTCGGAGTAGGGAGGGTTCTGAACATTTGCGGTGATGAAATTCTGGGGTTGGGGGTTGTATACGTTGGGGGAGGTTATATACAAATTTTTTGATCGTAGTATATTTGGGCGCTCCCAATTCCCGTAATTCTATGCACCCATAAGCCATAGTTCTGTCATCAACTTGTACGATGGAGGAATGTTTCAATTTTTCTGCTATCTAAGCTCACCGCCCGGTGAACCGGTCCGGCTGGCTAATCTATCCCTATAGAAGCACAAAAAAACATAAACGGACCATGCTCGAAATGAACGATATTTTGCTGCAGTCATGTCGCGGAGATGGGGAAAGGGCCAACGTTGCCAGATGGACAGTGCTACCAGTAGGGTAGGGAAGGAATGTCTATGGATTAATTATATGGTCCTGTTTGACTGACTGAATCCATTTAATTTCCATGTTGTACATGTTCGAATCCGACTTTTCTCTGAGGATCCAAATTGCGCTGAACTTATTATGAACTGATGACGGCGTTGCATAGAAAGTTCAGCGTCAACCTAGTTGATGCGATTTTTTCTTCCTATTTTAAAAATGATGGTCGTGTGAATTTGATTTAATATTTGATCTAGTTATGTGAGTAATATTCTGTATATAGGGTGTTTTAAGTTGGGACTTTACACGTATAGTTCGTGAAAAAGTTATCAAATTGCCCCAGTAATACAAAGTATTAAGATAACTGAACTGTTGAGCTTAGAGAAAATCGATGATATCAAATTCGGCCCATCCAGCAAGCGATTATGTGAAAAGATACAGCGTGCGTCAGTCTCCAGCCCCAGACCGACGTGCCAGGTAGATGAATCGGACTGATTATAAAATATAACAATTGCTTAGATAATATATTTACCACCATCCTCAAGAGTGACATACTTAGGGCTAATGTAACTGAGACTTATCTGTCGGATGACACGGGTACCTATTCAGTTTTGTTTTGCCCAGCACAAAAAGTTCTAGAAGAGTCACTTATCGACCAGTAACTGAAGACAGTTTTTTTCCTTTCTAACAGTTTAGAATGTTTTTGACTGTATTGTTGTGTACCACAAAACTCGAGTCTTCCATGGAAATTGGAACGATGATAAAGTACAATGGTTTGATTGCAATCTACGTTCTATGACGAAAAATGAAATATTCTTGATGGAACTTCAAAAACTGATACATCTGACGTAATAAAAACAAAATAAACAATATAAAATCTTCATATTGAGAAGCCATCATTAAAGGTAAACGAGACGCAAACGATAAGTGCGTGAACACAGCTAGTAGTAAGCAACAGGCAATATGGAACATCATAAAAGCAAATGTCGCTACCGCTGGCATCCTTTCTTTTCACTCACGAATCCCTGTACCATTGATTTAAAAAACGTTTTACTTACCTGATTCATGGGATATTTTCCCGCACACAATTCGCAGTCTTGTTGAAGGAACGCAATAGCAGCATCCAACGTACTGCAATGTTTCACAGCCTCTAGTGCCTCCTCAGAAGAAAAATTGAGAGACATTATGCTGATGGCTAGTTCAGCTTCTTCATAGCAAGACACCTGGCCTTCTGCTAACAGTCTTCTTGCCTGCCTCTAACAAATTATTATGGTGTCAAGAGAACGCATTTAGAAACTTTTTTTTAAAATAATGAACAGAATAATACATTACATGCCTTGGTGGATAATAGGACATAAAAATGCTTCTCCACCGAGGTTTTCATATATTTTTTTTCACTACTACCTATGATATATTACCGCATTCAATTCATTCAACATCCGGCAACACTGTCAGGATAAAGCACACTCAATGCCTGCATCACAGAACGGTGCGTTTAAGAGGGACGCTGATATGTAGAATCCGACAAAGATAGAAATTGCTACGTATATCAACACATCATTCGTTTTCACATTGATTTTCAAATACTCAAATTTATTTATTTTAAGTAGCATAAGTCTTTGAAGCTGTCGAAATAATGGGATCAAAAACAATAATTTCACATGCATACAATAGATTCTGTATTCACTTATACCTACTGAACAATAATTATTAGTAATTATTAAAAATGGCTTAATAGCAGTGAAAATTGTGTGCCCAACAGGCCAAAAAAGCTGGGTATAAATTGACACCCTCTGTAACAGTTGACATGTTGTCGGTTTTTTTGACTTGTTGGTTTTTTACATATTAACCCTGCTGGCCCTATACCCGATTGGGTAGGCGGCGAAATGCAAAATGGTTCGACCTCAGATACACATGAGTAAATGACACACAAGTTTTTGGCCAAACTAATAAAAATAAGTATGATAAACCATATATATTTTGAATAAGAAAAAAGAGACTACCGCGTAGCCTGAAAATATGCATTGTCTCCAAAAAAATACAACTTTCGGTAGCACTTTTCTGAAACACCTTGAATACAAAAAACATATTACACGAAACGCTTCACATTAGACCCTATAACTTTTATATGCAACTTTTTCTTCCTGAAGGTCATATGTAAAAATTAGAGGGGGGAGGTCGATTCATATCCGGATACACTGTATACATAAATGAACACAGAGGAGGTGATCTGCAAACCGCAGTTTTTGAAAAATTGGCAAATCTGGGTTAGGCATGTGATCGTATATTTTCAATGGTCCTCTACCCGATAAACCGAATTAAAAACGTCAAACTGCAGTTTTTCCCTTTGTAATAGCTAGTGAATTATTGTGGTGTTCTACAAAGCGCAGTATTTTGTTTCAACTAGGAATAAGAAAACGCAATTTATTACTCCATGCTTGGAAAATCATAGCGCAACTTTTCAAATCTTAACTTGCTGATCAAAATTACACATGCACGACAAAACGCAGTATTTCTTTGAATAAGAAGAATATTCAGACCGTCTGTGAATAGTTCAGTTGTTTACCGGCAGTTACGAAGTGTGCGATCTGTTGCTGCTAAATTACGCAATATTTCGAAATTAAAAATGGATGATAGTAGTCTAGTGCTAGTTAGTGACGCATCTGATGGTTCGAGAAAAAGAAAACGAACTATGTCTAAACGAGAAAGGGCAAAAAAAATGCGGTAAGTTTGAATATAAAAGCAAGTGAGCGGAGTTGTTTTATATTTTTTATTGTTTTAGATACATGAATCATATGCCTAATGCTGAAGATTTTGAAGTGAAGTGCAAGCATTTAAAAACTGCACTCCAGTGTCATGAAGTTTCTACAGAGGATGCAAAACGTGTTAGAGAGTATGTATGTGTATAGACAACCAGTAAAAACGATAATAGATAATAAAATAGCCCACTTGATTGAAGTTAAGCATCCTAAAAGGAAAAAAGTGAAGAAACATTGACAAATAAAGACCAAGCAATTAGGCTGGATTATTTTTTAAGAAATATTAACTCTGATAGGCCGTTAGTGTGTCAAAAGACGTTTTTGGCTGCTTTGAAGATCTTACAACGGAATATCCTTACTATCGGAAAAAGAAGGCAGAAGGGCAGATAATTGAGAGAAGGGGAGGTGATCGGAGAAGCAAAAAATACGAGGAGCAGAAAAACAGTGTTAAAAAATTCATTGGGAATTTACATGCAAGTGAAAGTCATTACAATCGTAAGAAATCGAAGAGACTTTATCTTTCATCTGACTTGAATATTGCGAAACTATCAAAACTTTATAATAACTCTGTAGAGCTGAATTTAAAAGTGTCGCGTCGTTATTTTTATAATATTTTTGTACGCTATTTCAATCTCGGCTTTGGGAATCCCGCAAAAGATGTATGTAGTCTATGTACCCGTCTGAAAAATACAATTAGATCCACAAAGAATGCAGCTATGAAAGGGAAATCTATTACTGAGCTGAGAATTCATAAATTGAGAGCTAAACAATTCCACCTTTTTTTTGAAAGCAATTCCGGAGAACAGCTTCACAGTATGCTTTGACTTGCAGCAAGTCCAAGCGTTGCCTAAAATGAAGATAGGGGAAACATTTTATTTACGTCAACTTGCTCTATACAACTTTTGCATAACAGAACCTAGTACAAGACATCCTTACTTTTATACTTGGACAGAGAATCAAGCGAAAAGGGGACCGAATGAGATAGGATATACCATTTCTTGACAAATCGCGAGTTTCCAGAGAGTTGTAAATTAGTTAGACTATTCGCCGATGGATGCGGAGGACAAAATAAAAATTCTTTTATCATCCACATGTTGACGTTTTGGCTTTCCACTAAGGCACCTAAACATATTGAAGAGGTGGTCCTGTATTTTCCGGCGAGAGGTCATTCTTATCTACCTGCAGACAGAGTATTCGGTCGGATAGAGAAGATCTGCAGAAAGCGGTCTGAAATTACCATTAAGGAAGAATACTGGAATATCTTTGGAGAAGTTGGGAATGTTAAAGTGATGGGACAAGATTGGGACTTGTTGGATTGGAAGGATTTTTCTAGTACAAAATTCAAGAAAATCAGTGGTATACAAGAAGTAAAGCGAGTTCATTTGAAAAGGGTTCGTGAAAAGTGTTTGACAAAATTAGAAGTTTTCTACAGAACAGACAACGATACAAAGTATCAGAACTACTTGAAACGAGGTGCGAAATTAGAAAATTACCAACCTAAGCAATTGAACTGCGCAATAGCATTAAAAAAATTAAGCTTGAAAACGTTGAAACCCTATTAAAAAAGTATCAAGAAGACTGGGAAGATAATGAAATCTTCGCTTGGTACAAGAACCTACTAAATGAAAGAAGACATCCAACAGGAGACGAGGAAGAAACATGCCCGGAATCCGACGATGCAGATCCAGAGTTGTGTGATTGTGCTGAGGAAGACATTGGCTTGAAAATATAATTATATAACTTTCCGTTTCATTTATGAATAGATTGGTTTTTCAAAACGCAGTTTTAATAGATGTGGAAAATCAAAATGCGGTTTTTGTTTGTTTTTTTGTGTTAGTCAGCAAACGATAAGGACCAGATTTCAGCAGGTTAGTGTAGCCATTTCGTTGTCTCTGAAATTTGAGGTGGTATGTTTGGCTTAGCATTCTACTTCTCCATTTACGCACCTTAAAAAAACGTCTTTATCTCAAAACGTTGAAATTTCAAAGACTGCAGTTTGCAGATCACCTCCTCTCATTTATTATTTACCTGGGGATTTTTGCAGTAATATTATTTACGTAGATGGAGAAACGTAACTTTTCCTTAGAGGACTATGATAAATAAGCGCGATTTTTCAAGTTAGTAGTGAAAAAAGTTATATTTTTTTAAAGGCATCCTAAAACATAGATTATAGTCACTTCAATTATACAAACGAAAGGCCTCGTCCAGACTTACGCCGAAAGATCCGAGAGCACTCGACGCACTTGGATGTGGCATTTTCCACAAAGACAAAAACGCATCTTTAATAGCTGAAATGGATTGTGTACAGGGTTTGTCCGGAAAGTAATAGGACTCATTTTCTTCCGCCATGACTGTACTTCGGAGCGTGCGCGCACCGACTGGATTCGGTAGAGGGCGTTCCTAGCTAACGAATGAGCGGCTGGTCAGTTGTCTCCGAGCACTTGGAGAGTCAGGACAGGCATTTTCGAGCGACGTGTTTCTGTGAGTGGTGCAAGCCGAAAATGCAGCGTTCGTTAGAGCAGAGGTACGCGATTAAATTCTGTGTGAAACTCGGTAAATCTGCGACAGAGACGTTTGATATGATCAAGCAGGCTTACCCAGGTGTTGCTTTAGCAAGAAGTCGTATGCTTCGGTGGAACCAGGCCTTTTTGGAGTGCCGGGAAGAGATCGCTGATGAAGACCGTGCTAGAAGACCTTCGACTTCGACAAACACCGATAATGTGACTCGTGTGCGCAAAGTTTTGAACTCAGACCATCGACTAAGTATTCGTTTAATTGCCCAGATGTTAAATTTAGCAAAATCTGTGGTTCATGACATTGTGACACAGCATTTGAACATGCGCAAGGTGCGCGCAAAGATGGTCGCAAAAGTGCTCACTGACGACCAGAAATTGCGGCGAGTGGAAGTATGCCAAGGAAATTTTTTAACATGTGTGAAAGTGACCCCGAATTTTTGAATAACGTAATCACAGGTGACGAGTCGTGGATCTTTGAGTATGATCCCGAGACAAAGAGGCAATCTTCCGAGTGTCTTTTTTGACATCAAAGGCATCGTCCGTCATGAATTTGTTCCTCCTGGACAAACCGTCAACGCCAAGTTTTACGTGGAAGTGCTCAGGAGACTCAAACGAAGGATCAGTCGGGTCCGACAAGACATCGCAGCCCACTGGAAGTTGCACCACGACAACGCCCCGGCTCACACCGCCTTTCTTGTGAACAGCTACCTGACCAAGGCCGGCATCCCAACGCTTCCGCGGCCGCCCTACAGCCCAGATGTGCCCCCCCAGGACTTTTTTGTTTCCTCGCCTGAAAAGGCCGATGAAAGGCAAGCATTTTGAGACGACAGAGCGGATCCAAGCAGCATGCACCGCGGCTCTCAAGGCTATTCCGGAGATTGCCTTCCGTGACGCCTTCAATGCTTGGAAATCGCGCTGGCAGCGCTGCATCGACGCAGAAGGAGCCTATTTTGAAAGTTTTTAAAGAATTATAACGATTGGCTCAATAAATTTTTTTAAATCGACTCAGTCCTATTACTTTCCGGACAAACCCTGTATATCCATTATTTTTCAAGGATGTTGCAGTTTGTTTTCGTTTTTCAATTCATTTCAAAAATTCTTCAACTCGGACATAAAATACCGATCCCAATGGGATATCAAGTGATCCCGAAAACTAGTGAGAAATCGTTCACTTTTAAGCTTCTGTTCACATTTACTGTAAATACACTACCTATAGTTAACTACAAGGATGTATCACCGAATATTTCTTCCATTTCCTCACAAAGTTCATATGTACTTGCAATAAAAATGAATTCATTCAAAATTTTACCTTCCTTTGTCATTATTGGGATTCCTCGGTGAAAGTCTGAATATGGCATAAGGGACGAATGTATTGTTAAATACCCATTCTCAAAATAAAAATATAAAACAATCCAAACTAACATTTACCTCAATCTTTTCAACCTCCGAAGATTCTTTATTCCCTATTGTTATATGTTTCAAAAGCTTCCCATCACGATCTTCCAATTCGTCCGAAATATATTCATCACCATCTCCTTCATCGGAAACATACTCTTCAGATTCACACGTTTCTTCAATACTAAACTTCGAATCCAACAAATTAGAGCTAGGCTTTGATAGAGGGGAAATATTCAAATCCAGCCCATCTAGTTTCTTCCTATCAAACTCTTCGTAGTCATCGGTGTTAGACTCAAATACGTCCCCATAATCTTCATCAAATTCGTCATACTCATCGGAGCTGAGGAGTTCATCTATGTTGCTATCAGAAACTGAAGATTCGCTGTCGTCCTGGTCCAAAGATTTGGTGTAAGAACACTGTTTCGAGCTACTAGCGTTTGATTCAAACGAATCTTTGTGTCCAGATTTCTTCGTAAGAGCCAACTTTGTAGTCTTTTTGTCTTTTGGTTCTTCTTCAGAAGTCACTAAGTCTTCAGCGTCATCAGAAGTTCTCTCATTACTGCTGTCCTTTTTAGCTACTGGCTTTTCTTTCACTTTCATTACAACATCTAATTCCTTTTCGATTTCTTCTGCCTTTTGTAGTGTGGTAGGTTGGTTCGTTTTGACAGGTATTTTGCTGATAGACGGTTTAAGATCTGCCTTCAAAGACGATTGCCTAAGAAGAGGAATTTTGGAAGGTTTCTTAGGCACAGGAATTGTTGACTGTTTGCTTTGGGCCATTTGTATAGTTGTTGAAGTTTTGGGGGTGCCGTTATCTATGACAGCTTTGTTCGCATTTTTCTCTTCTTTTGGTATCGTTGCCGACTCAACTGATTTATCTTTATTGTCTTTAGAAGCAATTTGCTGTTGACCATCAACCTGTTTTGTGTCTTCTACATTTTTTGTAACTTCACTTCCTTCTTCTATCTTTTCGACGCTCATAGATTGTGACGGTTGAGCATGTTTGAACTTCAAGTATTTCGCACTATCTTGCTTTTTCAACGCTTTTGTCCTGTGAAGTCTAGAAGGACTCGGACTCTGCTGGACACTGACATCTGTTTGAGGTGTCTCAGGTACCCTCTCTTGCTTTTTTACTTCATTTTCTTCTTGTACTTCGCTGCTAGATGCTGTCGTGCTAGATTCTCTTTGGCATGATCGTTTTTCAGCCCGTTTTCTACTTCTTCTCATACTTTTCTTTTGTTTACGTGATATCTTGTCTTTAGGAGGCAACGCTTCTTTTGGATTACTTCCGTTTTTATCTTCATTTACTTTTGTAGCGGGAATTTGTTCCATTTTTTCTTCATCTTCCTTTGTAACTACTTCATCTGTTTTTGAACTGTTGCTTAGATTATTAATAATGTTGCTGTCGACATTATTGGATCGCAGTTCTTTTTTGCTTTTCTTAACATGATTATTAGTTTTATTTTCTTTATTAACTTGTTCACTGATAGCGGCGGTACTTTCTGATTCGACTGACTTTAAGTTTGTTTCATGTGTTTTATCGTTTTCGGAAATATTTTTGTTTTGTGTATTAGCTGAACTTTTACTTAACTTATCATTCTTCTTTTGTTCAGAGTCTGTAGGTTTCTGTTTTTCTGTTACTTTTTTCTGCGATTGAAGAGGGTTCTGAGGTAGATCGGTACGCTCTGCAGTATTTTCTAAGATTTTTTCAGTATTGGTCACGGTATTGCTCATTTCAGTAAACTCTTTATTAACCTCAACATTATGATCTTCCTCTTTAGACTCTTGCTTTTGGACTATGACATTTGCTACTTCATTTGTTGAGACTTTGATCAAATTATCTTCTGATTTCTCATTTGATGCTGCTTTAGTTTCAACAGCAGCTTTTTCAAAATCTGTATCTATATCTTTTTCATTGTTTTGTTTAGATATTGATACACTTGGATGTTGTTTATTTTCTGTTTTTTCTTTTTCATTTTTTGTATCTGTTTGAGTTTTTACTGCTTCAGTGGAATCGCTAACAGCTTTTAGTGAGCTGTTTGATGCCTTTTTTGGTTGTAGTAGTATTTGTGCTTTACTTTCAACAATTTGACTGTCATTTTCAGTGCTTCCCGTTTTTTGTTGAGTGCTTGGCCCGGCTAAAGTGATACTCAGAGTACTAATACTAGTTCGCCTATGAGGTGAAGATTTTTTTTCTTCTGGTACAACAGAAAAACTAGCTGGGTTTTCTAAAGCATCAACAAATTCTATGTTTTGCATTTCGTCACTACTATCACCACTTGAGATAGATGGTGATTTATCATTTTTTGCTGAATCTGATGGGACTAAATAATTATTATCGATAACTTCGATTACAGTACTGCTTTTTTCTACGTAAATCTTATTACTTTGCCTGTTTTTATCAAGTTGAGTGGGAGTAGGTGTACTGGGCTGCAATATAATTTCAGGATTTGAGGTTCCATTTTCAGTATTGATTGCAGCATGATTATTGTTTGTGTTTTCAGAAATAATCGCATTGTTCGATGTTCCTTCATTACTGTTTTTGGGCTTTGGTTGCACAATTGTTGATTCATTGGGTTTTTCCGATATTGAGCTACTATCTTCATTGGATTCTGTTTTGTTGGATTTCTCATTGGGTTTTCTTTCATCATTACTTGTGCCTCTTGGTTTAAGTTCATTCAAATCTCTCGTAAGATTATTGATGCTTTCCAAATTCCTCATAATTTCATTTTCTATGCTGTCAAGTGAGTTAATATGATCTACTGCTATGTCAGAATTTTTTAAGCCTTGATCCTCTTGACTAAGGGGACTACTTGCCTTTTTGGGAGGGGTACTTACCGCTTTGGTATTTTCTTTTTTTATGTTCTCATCTACAGATGATTCTGTAATAATAAAACATTTATAATTATCAAATAAGATTCAAAAATAAAGATGATCAAATCGTGTTTATCTGAATTCATAAAGGGATCAAACTTCTTTCAAAATGAAAGAGTAGAAAAACAAGGTCCATGAGTCCAGTTGCTCCAAAAACATCACCAGACTTCCCTTGGCAATAGGGTCATTGTATCTGTATATCACTCAATGATATATTTTGGAAATTTGAGTACCATTCTTTTTTTGAACAATCTGAGAATGTCTCTCAACTTTGTATTTAGGTTTTTGTCGAGTTTCTGATAATTCATAGGTTTGATATGCTTTTGTGAAGTATCAAGAAAGAAAATTGCCTTTTGTTATATGTCTTCTAGTTACTCTACAGCATATGAATAGAGAAGGCTCAATAATTTTGAAAATACGCAACCCTACGTGTTTAGATCACCCCTTAGTTCGGAGCAGCTTCAAACACCTGAAGTGGAGGAGTACCGAATTAGTCTACCTGACTTCTTTTTTTTAACTTTACTGACTGTATATGAAAGGTCAATAATATTCCCGGTTTCAACTGCAGCAAAATGGTCAAAATGCGTTTGAGAAGAATTGCGTTAGTCTACATGACTCATTTCGTTAGTCGGAACTGTCAGAAAGCTTTTCGGAATCTAGTACGTTAGTAACAATAAATGATAACCTATACAAACCCCATCCCAAGTAAACGTAATTTCAAATAACCAATTGGTTAACTAATCAACGTTAGATATATCTTGTGAGACAATTCTTTTACTTATAAGAGCATGAGAACGAGTTTTTGTAAGTATTTTTTATACAAGCTGTCAAGAAGTGAAATTAGGATTTGTTGTTAAGCTCAGTAACGAATATAAAAGGGAGCCCAGATGGCCCCTTGTTGTTTGGCAGTGGCTAAGGGCCGTATCGTCAGTCGTTCCCACAACTGTAGGACGCCTTTATGGCCTCCTTGATTACCATAGTCTTTTCTCTCCTCCAAAAATTTCTAGACTGCACATGTTCCGTGTCAGCGTTAGTGCTCTCCTATTGTGAAGTTATATTTTCTTTTTGAATTGAGGGAAATTTCAGGCTGATAAAAAATGATATAAATCAAAAGCATGATCAATTTGATGCAAATAGATATTTATGACATAACCTCAAAATAGAGCGCTGACACGAAAAAGTAGAAAACTATGAAAATCAAGGACGCCTTTATGGCCTACTTGATTTTCTTGAGCCGGTCTCACACGATGTGGCGAATGGCCATGTGTCCAACGTTCTAAGGCATTCGCCACATCGTGTGGGAGAGCGCTGACGTATGTGTCCAACGTTCGCCTTATGGCACGTTCGGGCTCTTGTCGGTAAATTTGACCCGCGTCTAAAGACAACGTTGGAAGCATGGTTCGTTACGCTCCCACACGAGATGTCATGTGTTTGATGGTTTTAGGTTAGAACCATAGTAGCGACGAAAATCGTTATTTACTTGTTTGCTGTGATTGTGGTGGAGTATTTTGATTTGAATACCTACCTATTCATAATAATGTATGTACCGTAACTAACTTTTGAGGAGAATGAATTAAATTAGTCTCGTACATACAAAGCATCGGCTGTCATAACAACACTTTTTTCATATTGCTAATATTTTGTACGTTTCGAAGGTGACTTATGGCTGGCCTAAGGATATGCATTTTAGTAAATTATAAATTATCAAGTGCTTACAGTTGTTTCATTATAATGTCCTGTTGCAATGCAAGACTAGTTGAGAAATATATTTACTTGCATCTCATAACTAACGAAAAAGATTGAATAAATGATAGCTCTGAAAGTACTATCAGGATTTTGATGAAATTTTGACCCTAGGTTACTACTATGAAAATGACGAAAAAGCTCTGCGGTTTTTGAAAATCGGTACAGTGGCGGTGGAGTTATCGTCGAACAAAGAAAAAACGGCCAAACTTCGTTTTTCGACATTTCTGAGGCTTCTGACAGACTTAAGTTTTGGCCGCTGAAGACAGATCTGAAATTATTTTTCGGCGCTCGAAAAAAATTGTTTCATCGTTTATTTTGTATAATTTTTCCTTCAGTTGTAAATGTTCACTGACACCGATAAGAGACGTTGGCGCCACCATGCGTCGAACGTCCGAGACTAGAAAGTTCATCCCACCGTGTACGAGACACACTTGCCAATTATGAGGTGTCGAACGTTGTAAACAACGTTGTATACAACTTTGGAAGCATCGTGTGGAACTCTCATTAGTCTTTTCTCTTTTTCAGAAAGGCTGGATCCTTCTAGATTTCTACTGTTCCGTGTCAGCGTCAGCGCCCTCCTGTTGTGAAGTTATGTTTTCTTTTGAATTGTGGGGAATTTCAGGCTGATAAAACAGATGTTATGAATCAAAAGCATGAACAGTTTGATGCAAATAGATATTTGTGACATAACCTCAAAATAGAGCGCTGATACGGAACAGTAGAAAACTATGATAATCAAGGAGACCATAAAGGCGTCCTACAATTGTAGGAACGACGTGGGACCGACTGACGATACGGCCCTAAAGGTGGCTACAGACGATGCGCTCGCTTTGATTTTCTAGGTGTCTTTTGATCTCCTAAAAAGTGAAACAGGTGGTAGTACCAAAGTGTGGGCTCATAACATTCATCTGTACCCATTCCAGAGTGATCCGCATCTTCAACTTTTTTCTTTTCTCTTCTATAATTAGTCCGGAAGAAGTTTATCTTTTTAACAATTGCATCCTTGTTGGCATTAACATCAATTAACCTATATTTTTGTAATAATATTCTGTACGCTGCATCCCTCTTGCTTTGTTATGATAATCTTTGAATTTAACGTGCCAACGACATTGCTGGTTTTGGTATTCTCGAATAAAATCTTCCAATAATTCACGATTAACCTTTCTGAGATCACTAGTCATGACGAAAATTACTCAAATGCTACCTACGTACGACCAGTCACGACAATTCCAACACAACACAACGGACGCCAACTTGTGCAAGCTTGAAAATATTGGGTATACACGTACCGTTTTGCTTGCGCAAGCGCGTAAGATTCAAGCATGCATAACTAAAATCAATCCAATCCTCAAGCTACTTGTACAATTACAAAGCTTGTACCAAATTCCATACAGATATTCAAGCGTGCTTGTACAAAGAGATTGAACAAGCATGCTCGACAAGCTTGCAGTTGTGTCTGTAACCACCTTAAGTTCACACGGTTAAAAATGAAATCATTAAACTACACGTCAACAGCGTTGCCAAATTGGGTGATTTTCCCCCTGGTTTGGTGAACTTTTGGTATCTTTTGGGGAATTTTTGGGGGCATAATTTTCTGGAGGATTTTTTAGTGGTAATAAAGACCTTTCGGTCTCTGATTTCGTAAATCAATGATAATGCATCATATCCCTTACCTTCACCCCCCGTAATATTGGAAAGTGTCCCCTCATTCCCAGCCTCGTTATCAGTCCCCACTGGAGGTCCCCAAATCCTCATCAAAAAAGGTTTTAGCTGCGTTTTGCTCAATTCATTGTAAGCGGCCTCCAAGTCACCATGATGTGCAGTCAACATTGTGACTATGTCCTCTCTGGTGAAGTCACCACGGGCAGCTAATTCGGTATACTGAAGAAGAAATAAGAATATTTCAATAAATAGATCGCTGCTAAGTGTAATGAATTAAACGGCTGTCATATACAGGGTGTCCCAGATACGGTTTTAAGATTTCGAAATTAAACTAAATGAATACTACACATTTTAAGATACATTTTTCCATTTAATACGAAGCACCAAATGTGTGGATGCTATTAGCGACGTATATTTTTAAAATGAGCGAAGTTTACAGTAATAGTTCTATCATTATTTGTTGGTTTTGATCATATTCCCACGAATATCGCTGATTTTCCTAAAGTATATTCGTCGCGAACTAAACCAAATCGCGCCTGCTTTGGGAAGCATCTAGTGCTTATGAGAACATGTTTTCAAAATAGTGTAATGTTTTTTCGTTTCAACTTCGAACTCCTAAGTCGTCTCTAGGACACCTTTATTTCATTCCAACACTGACCCGTTCTTACTGGAAATCCCTTCATTTCCACAAATATCTCACCTTTCTCTGCCTTTGCTCGACGCATTCTTCAACGGCAGGCCACAGATTGCCCTTATGCAACCTCAACGCTTCTCTGGCCTCCTTTTCTGAGACTGTACCAACTATATTCATGGGCCCTTCTCGACCCATTTGAGTGGCCAAGGTTTGGACGCTGGTTATAGTAGGTTCCCAGTGTTCTTTCAACCATTCGATCGGGTTCTGGTCCTTGCAATGTAAAATGGCCGCCTGGACTTCGTCGGCTGTGTACTTGAATTGTTCGGCTTCCTGGAAAAATACCATTCAAAGATTACCAGAATTTCATGCGGTCGTTTTGTTTTTGAACATTTTTTACATTGTTCTCCTTTACCAAATGAAATAACTAAAATAACATTCATACGACGGAAACCAGGGAATTATTTGAAATGTCCCAAACACAAGACAGTAGATCTTCTTTGAAATCCCAGATAATATTTTAATGCCTCTCACGTTTCGTATCATCAGTTGATTGTTTTTATTCCTTCCTTTGCCAAAACTGGCGAGGAAGTCTTGTAATCGAAAAAAATTCTAAACCGAGATACTGTGTTTGTTGGATGTTACGAGGGGGTACCCAAAAAAACAGAATTATTTTTTAAAAGCTATTTATTTTCAGCTTTTTCACAAAGTAACCTTATCTCCTTCAAAATACTGTCCACTACAACTAATACACTTGTTCCACCGGTGCCTCCTCTGCTCGAAACATGTTTTGAAGTCTTCCTTAGAAATGACTGACAGCTCCTCCCTCGTTTTTTTCTTGACCTCTTCAGTGTTGTCAAAGCGGTGTCCTTTCATGTCCCTTTTCATCCGTGGAAATAAGAAAAAGTCGGAGCCAGGTCATGCATAAAGTGCGTGAGGCAGCGGAACCATGCCATTTTTAGCCAGAAACTGTCGAACGGAGATGGCTGTGTGCGCAGGTGCATTATCATGGTGGAAGAACCAGTCTCCTGACTGCCACAAATTGTGTCTTTTTTGCCGAATACTGTTTCGCAATAGTCTTAAAACCTCCAAATAGCACAAGCTCTCGTATTTTTTCAACATTCTCGATGATTCGGGCAGTTGATGGACGTCCAGAGCGAGGTTTGTCATCAATCGACATGTCGCCATTTTTAAATCGAGCAAACCACTCGTACACCTGAGTTTTACCCACATCATCATATTTGTAAGCTATTTTCAACATTAAAACAGTTTCTACAGCATTTTTACCAATTAGAAAGCAAAATCCCACAGCTGCACGTTGCTCACTGAAGCTTGCCATCGTAAAAAACGAAACAGCTCTAGCAAAAATATTGACTGCAGAGGAACGAAGCAAGCCAGACCGACAACTCAGGTGGCACTCAACTGGTAATGAGTTGCGCTGTACGCCTCTAGGGGCAGAAATCTGTACTACTCAAGCTCCGCCCACTGTAATGCTATTCCGGTTATTTTTGTGTATCTTCTCGTATATGACAGGTACATCACGAAAAACTGTCACTCATTTCCGTCTGCCTATCCCGTCCGTAACTAGAAGTAACTCTCGGATTTTTATGAAATTTCTATACAATGTTGCTACTATGCCAAATATCTTAGTATACTTAGTATACTTATACGCCCCCAACCCCGGTAAATATATGCACCTACTCGTATTAGCCGTATTTCACACATCATAGATTACCCCGTACATTTGATTTCAAAACAGAATGATAGAGAAGTGTTTTCGGTCCGCATACTCCTGCTATCTAAGCCCAGAGAACTGGTCCGGTTGACCTATCTATCTGTACTGAAGCCGCAAAAAACATATACCCGAACCATGTACAAAATGAACGATAACTCGCTGCAGCGATGCCACCCAGATGTGGAAAGGAACAAGGTTGCCAGATAGACGGTACGAGGGATGTCTTTTTAGTTTTGCATATAGAAACATAGTAGGCCGCGCAGTCGACAATTTCCCGGTGGTATGGAGAATTCAAACGTGGACGGGTGAGACTTAGCGACGATTCCAGGGTGGGTGCACCAAAAACGGCAGTCACCCAAGAAACCGTCGATGCTGTGCGCAAACTCATCATTGAAGATATACTTGTGACATATCGCGAGATTGAGGCGTCCTTGAAGATCTCAAAGACCTCAATTCAAAAAATTTTACATGAAGAATTAGGAGGAAGAAAATTAGTTTCTCGTTGGATACCCCACCTGTTGACTGAAGAGCAGAAAGCAGCCAGGGTTAATTGGTGTCAAAAAACGCTTGACCTTTTCAATTCCGGAAACTCAAAAAATGTGTACAGCATTTTTAGTGGTGATGAATCGTGGATTTACTGTTGTGAACCAGAAAATAAACGACAGTCGGCTGTTTGGGTGTTCCAAGGTGAAGAAAAGCAAACAAAAGTCATCCGTTCTCGAAGTGTTTCGAAAAAGATGGTCGCGACATTTGTGTCAAAAGCGGGTCATATTGCAACAATTCCTCTTAATGAGCAAAGAACTGTTACTGCGGATTGGTATACCACCATTTGCAGTGGCGACGCGTGACTTTTCCTAAACTGTTACCAAAAAAGTTTATTTTGAACCTTCCAAATATAAGTTTTTGCTTATTTTAGGTATTTTATTTAAACTATTTTTAAATTAAGGTAAACATTCCTGGACTGAGCGTATGTGGCACTTGATATACCTCATCGTCTTATACTATGACTAATCCAAGCCGTCCGAAAAAACTGTCGACGTTACACAATAGAATGAGTCAAATATATTATCCTGAGGGAGAACTTTCACTAGACGAATCTATGGTTCTTTGGAGTGGTAGATTAATGTTTAGACAAGAACAAAACGCATAAATATGGTAATAAGCTTTATATTTTGTCTACAACCAATGGAATAGTACAAAAATGTGCAGTTTATACAGACATATTAGATGAATATGGTGACAAAGATCATACACAAAAAATTGTTCTTCATTTAATGGTAGAAAAATTGAAAGTTGGACATCATGTATACGTAGTCGTGCCATAAGTTCTGTCCCATGATAATCTCATGATAAAAATGAAACAAGATAAGATATATTTATATGAAAGATATTATTTATTCGACAACATTTTTAGAATTCATAATCAAACAGTTTTATTCAAAATGTCCCCCCTTGGCCTTCACACACTGCTTCAATCTCGCGGGCCACTCATCTATCACTGCACGCACAGCTTCCAAAGGAATAGCTGCCGCTGATCGGATCAAATCCGCTTTCAGGGACTCGATATTACGGTGGGCTTTGGAGCAGGCCAACTGCTCTAGCAGGTCCCACAACTTGTAGTCTAAAGGATTGAGGTCCGGACTCCCTGAGGGCCAATCTTCCGCAGCAATGAACTCTGGCACATTGCTTTCCAGCCAGCGCTGCGTACTCTTAGCCTTGTGAGCGGGGGCGGAATCCTGCTGGTAGACCCAGTGTTGGTTGGCAAACAATGTACCACTTAAAGGCTTGACGATAGGATCCAGTATGTCGCTCTGATAGTTTGCCGCTTTTGTTTTCACGCCCTGTTTACAGAAATGGAGCTGAGTGACCCCTTCGTAGGACACCCCCCACCAAACCATGACTGACGCAGGGTGGTGGCCTCTCTCAACTCTCGGAATGATCTCCGAAGCTTCCTGTGAACTCCTTGCATACACTTTGTCATTTTGTCGGTTGAATTTTTCTTCTATGGTGAAGATTTTCTCATCCGTGAACAAAATCTTTCGGAATCCCCCAGCTGCGTACCTCTCCAAGAGCTTCTTGGATCTTGTCGCCCTGATGTGTCGCAAGGTGGCCGTAAGTCGCTGGCCCGTACGTCTCCGGTAAGCCCCTAGCCCTAGGTCTTGTTTAATGATGCGCGACATCGTCCGGACAGGAATCTTCATTTCCCTGGATAGGATCTTCTGCTTCCGGAGTGGATTCCTTTGAATCCTGGCTTTTATGGCTTTGATGGCTGCTGGAGTCCTTACTTGACGAGGTCTTCCGCTTCTTGGCCTGTCATCAACAGAGGACGTCTCATTGTACCGCTGAATGGTCCTAGACACAAATTTACGCGATATTTGAAGGCCGCGTAAGAGTTCAAAAATCTGACTAGCACTGTGATTACACTTATGTAAAGCTATCACTGCAATACGGTTCTCTGCCTTGCCCCACTCCATCGTTATGCTTCGAGAGATCAATACAAACTGAGGTATATGTAATTACCCGAAAAGCGCTTAATCAACTGACACCACAATGTAAACAATCGGACAAGTATTAACAGGTCTACACTTGTTTGAAAACGAGGGACAGAACTTATGGCATGACTATGTATATGGATAATTTTTATAATTGTTTTGCGTTAGCTAAGATATTGTTACATAAAGAAACTGACTGCACCGGAACTTTAAGGACAGAAAGAAGAAATACGAACAAAGAAGTTCAAACAGCAAAATTAAAAAAAGGTGAGACTGTTGCCAGATATGCTAAAGGGATTATGGTAGGAAAATGGCGTGATAAAAAGAACGTATTGTATATTTCAATCGAGTTCGAAAACAAAATGGTAGACGTTCAAAATAAAAGAAAGGAAATTATATCTAAACCTTTACCAATTGTAAATTACAACAAACATATGACTGGCATTGATCGGAAAGAACAAATGCTGTCGTATTACTTGTCAGAACGTGAAACTTTGAGATGGTATAAAAAACTTTTCATGCACATTATTGAATTGATGATAATTAACTCGCATACCTTATATAATAAATATTCTGCAGGAAGGATGCCACTTCATGATTTTAGACTAAGTATTATAAAAACACTTGTGCCAGGGAAGGTAGAGAAAAATCAAGGACTCCGAGAAGAAGATGTAAATCCCGCGCTGCCCAAGGTAAACGTGCAGAAACATTATACGAGTGCCGAGACTGTCCAGATACTCCAGGGTCCTGCTTGAATTGTTGCACTATCTACCATAAGTAAAGTGAGACAAGCTTCTGTTTTTTATTTTCCTAATTATCGCTATGTATTTCTTTTATATCATTAGAAGATACAACAGTTCTTGACTTGGGATTTTTTTAATAAAGTTGCGATATCCTGGCCTGTGAAATTATTATGTAGATTATATTCATTTTTGATTAGACTTTAGTTAGTATTATGTTAGCTATTTTTTATATAGTTTCGTTATATTATTTGAAAATTCCACTTTTAATGTATTTTCTTTTTGTTTATAAAGAATAATTTAGATTTTCTGTTATATGCATGTATTTCATTATTATATATATTATATATAAGATTTTGTTCGGTTCTACTTTCAAACTTTTTTCATTCCCTACTATGAATTATGTTTATAAATTGTTTGAATGGTTCATATGCTATTCATTTGAATAAAAATATAATATTATCTACCTGTAGTGACAGTGTCGCTATCTGGCGACCAAAAAAATATTTGTAATTCAGGTAAGAAAATATACGATAATTACAATGTATCTCTCTTTTAGTATCATTTAAAGCAATTTTCAGGAAAAAAAATTAAAAACCCCCTTGGCCCCTGACTACATGTAACAACATTTTACTGGCAGCGAACGTGTTTTAAAGCCTATGAGACATTCAAATAAATCAAGTAGTTCTGATATCTGTGAGGTTCTGCCAAATCGTTGAAGTAATTTTGCTCGCATATTTAGAGTCCATGCATTTGCAAAAATGAAATTATGTGAAGCGTGTAATATGTGGAAAATTAGTATGGTAATGTGGAATATTACTGAATAGTAGAAGGCATTTTCTGAAATAAAAAACACATATAGTCCAAAATATAAACAAACTCAATATCCTTAAGCAGTAGGCCCGGTTATGTGGAACACTCGTCGATTGGTATTGTGAAAGGTTCCACAATACCATCCCACCCTCACTTAACCTCAAGTTTATTGCTGGAATCTATAAACATAAATTTGATAATTCATGTATCTGAGCTTTAACAACAAATAGTAATAATTAGAACAAGGTTGTACTTTATCTAGAAATACAAAAAATGGCAGCCAGTCTAATGTTTCGATATTCACGTTTACTGGATTCACCAACTTTTTTGAGGTTGTGCACCTTAATCGTTAAAATAGCTTGTATCCGATAGTTACGCTACTGATACAAGAGCAAATAATGCCATCGAACTGCAGGTGTCGCTACTGGTTTTGGAGATATCTGACTATTCCACTCTAAACACTTTTTTTGGGGCCAAAATTTCGGAGTTATGGGTTGCAGGGATGGGGGCATATTTCACTCATCACGGATGTCCTCTTTCCCTTAAAACTTATAAATATCTCCAACTGTCGCGTATTAATGCGTGCAATTTGGTTCCTCGACATACGAGCGTCGTACGTCACAGTCGACAGTCGCTTCCGCACTGCTATGGGCTGTGTGCACTATACATGATGAAGGCCAATATCGTCTTTCGCGAGTGATTGGTTATGAAAGAGATCATGTGCCCCTCCAGGATTAAGGTCACTTTTTTTTCTGTTATACCAGGGCGGTTCAATAAGTACCCGTGTTTGACGACAGAGGGCGTTTCTGAGGGAAATTGATGTTATCATCATGTGCTGCCATCTATCAAAGGACGGCATAACAAATTTCAGACTTATTGATAGGTTAGTTTGGATTTGGTAGCCATTCGAGTAGCACGTGTTTCGTGATTTTTGCTAAGTTGCAAAAAGAGCAGTATCGTTCGGTAATTCGCTTTTTGTTTTTGGATGGGAAAAATGCGAGGGGATAAAAGCTAAGTTTGATGCTGTTGTAGACACTTCGCCATCTATGACCACAGTTAGGTATTGGTAAAACGAATTTAAACGTGGGCGAACATCCGTTTTTGATGAGGATCGACCAGGACGCCCGGCAGACGTGGTTACCGAGGAAATCATTCAAAAAGTCCACGACATGATTCTCGCTGATCGACAAACGAAAGTGCGCGAAGTAGCAGAGGCCGTAGGTATGCCGACCGGAACGGCAATCAATATTTTACATGATGATGAATGAATGAATCTTGGAATTAGAGGCATTCCGGCCACCATAAGGAGCCAGTGCATAGGCCCCTTAAGCGGGCCCTTATGCACCTCAACATTCCTTAGATCACAAGCCTCGCCCTTGACGTCCTGAGGGTCCAAAGTAATGGACCCCAGTATAGTCTGCCTATAGTAGCTCAGAGCTTCACAGCGACACAAAACGTGCGCCGAGGTATCTTCCTCTACCCCGCAGCGTTCACACAAGGGATCCTCAGCCACCCCCATCACGTGCAGGTGGCGCCTTAACGTGTTATGGCCAGACAACAGTCCCACCAGCAACCTTAGGTTGGCTCTATCCAGAGACAGAAACGTTCATCCTTAGCACTGGGCCCTTCAATGAGTTCCCGTGCCTGGCGGAGATGTCTGGAGATACTTCTCCATTTCTGAGAGTGTTGTCTTGCAATCCACGTCTCCATTTTCCTCCTAGCTCTTACATGATACGTTGGCTATGAAAAAATTGTCGGCCCGATGGGTGCCGCGGTTGCCCACGGTGGACAAAACGAGGATGCGCATGTTAACTTCGAAGCACTGTTTGGCGCAATTTAAGCGAAATCCGAAGGAGTCTTTGCGTCGAGTTGCCACCGTCGATGAAACCTGGATTCATCATTACACACCAGAAACTAAGCAACAATCAAAACAATGGATTTCTTCAGGTGAAAACGGTCCCATCGACCGGAAAGGTCATGGCGACGACTTTTTGGGATGCGAACCAAGTGTATTTTTTAGAAAAAGGAAGAACGATCACTGGACAATACTATAGCGAGTTATTGGACCGCTTCGACAAAAAATTGAAGGGGACTCGGCCACATTTGACGAAAAAGAAGGTGCTGTTTTACCACGATAATGTACCAGCACATTCATCCGGAGTTGTCGCCGCCAAATTGCATGAATTGCGTTATGAAGTGCTGCCGCACCTCTCATATTCACCCGATCTGTCCCCCTGCGACTTTGTCTTGTTCCCTGACATGAAGAACCGGTTCGCGAGGAAAAAATTTAGCTCAAGACAGGCGTATTTTGGAGAGTTCGACAAATCCTATTTTTTGGCGGGGTTAAAAAACGGCACGAACGTTGAGAAAAGTCTATCTTTCTAAAAGGTGATTATGTTGAAAAATAAAAACAATTTTTTTTGGAAAAAATGGTGTCTTCATTTCTAACACTGGTACTTATTGAGCCGCCCCCGTAATGTTCGTAGCTAACTTTTTTTCAGAAGGGCGAACTTGTGCCAAACATAATTCTTCACAACCTAATGGTAGCGTAGCGTGTGGAAATACAGAGTCAACTTACTTGACGCCATTTTTTTATTCTTTAATATAAATAGAGAAATCCTGGTTAGTTCTAAAAAACAGCTTTTGCTGATGTAAAATAAAGGCCGTTTATTATTATTAAAGCTTATCACTTACTCGAAAAAGCTTTACCAACTCCATTCCCGATGTTTTGAAAGTATCGAATCCTTGGAAGTTGTCTTTTGGCCCTAAATAGTCGAAAGTTTGAGGAGAGTCAAATCTGTGGTGACCTGGATCCATCTGAAAAAATAACAACACATAAATAATTAATAAAAAAGGGTGTTAGATGTTGATTGAGAGATTTTAAGCACAAGCAAATATTCTGTACACGGTAATAGCAGCATACAGGATATTGTCAAAACGGTTGGAACTTGGACATTTTTTAAGCAGGATCATTGAGCCTCTGAGAAAACGGCACTCATTATTATTATTATCATTATTTATTAACAAAATCAGTGACATACAATTTTTAAAGACTTTTTAAAAACTTTATTTCATATTTTTGCGTATTGAATCTCGTCTTGATATTTGCTGATACTCTGTAACATCATCAATAATATAATATTGAAACCCAGATTTATTTTGTAGGTTTTCAAAATTTATAGACATTTCAAGTTGACTCAAGTGTGAAAGTTTTAAAAATGTAAAAAAAGTATCAGAGTATTACCAAAATTTCACAGTAAAAGTATTCAAGGTTCTTAAAAGCGACTATATTGTTCGCTTACGAGCGTTTCGTCTATACAGGGTCTCGAAAAGTAGGCATATGATATTTTTAAAAATTTGGGAGTATATTAATGTCGATGGGCAACGGCAGCTAAAATATTTTCAAGATGGTGAACTTGCTTATTTTAAATTGGACACCCTGTATATTACTCAATATTCGGATTCTACATAAAATTCTAATCACATTTCATGTATAATCTCTTTGTATGTTATTCCGATAATTATTTATATATGGTCAAAAAATTAGTATAAAAATTGAATGTCAAAAATTGCCAAAAGTCGATTTTTTCAAATGAAAACCCCCTATTTTTATAAGTTCATCGCATCAAGCATAAAAAATTAGCGTAAATTTATACAGAGAGAAGTGCCACCATCTTGAAAATATTTTAGCTGCCGTTGCCCTATCGACATTAGTATACTCCTAAATTTTCAAAAATCAGCATATGCCTAGTTTTCGAGAAATCTATCGATCGAGCTCCCGATGCGACACCCTGTATAGTTGTACTGACGTATGCAGTCTGAGTCTTAATGAAAGGGTGGATTTGATTACACGACAATAAAATAAAAAATGTCAAGTGCTGGGAATCTCACTATATTTTTGCGTCTATGTTTTCCCGCTGAACATGAATATGAAGTCGGAATCGGGAGTCGTTGGAGAAATATAAACGTAATTTAGGCATTAAGATATTTTATTAGATGTACGTATGTTCAGAAACCTTTGAGGGATGCACTTACTTCTCAAAAATAAAAATAAAAATGTTTTATTCTGATGTCTAAATTACTTTCATATTTGTCCATCGACCCCCAACTTTCAGTTTAGATTCGTGTTCAGCGTTAAAATTATAGTGAGACCTCCAGCATAGATAGAAGTGAAGCAAGCAAAATCATAATTCAAAACCTTAACCTAAACGAATTCATAATGGTATCTATAATATTATGTGATGGTATATGTCAGTTTGTCTGTGAAATCCAAGCCTTAAACATGCCAAAAATAAGAGACAAAGTAAAAATGCACCCTAAAGTAAGCATCATGCTGACTGGGTCTGCGATATAGATCTGGTTTTCTCAGATCCATTATACTTCTGGAGATCCTTGGGTTGGGCATCGGCGATGCTGACTGTTTTCTTTCTCTGTAGTATGGCTTCTCGAAATATGGATGAGGTTCTTCGAAATCCTCTGGAGCTGGGCTGTGCTCCCTGCTGTTGGGTAGGCTCTGCAAGCGTAAACGTCAAGTAGATTTACTCTGATTTTGCTGGTCAGTAATAATTAAAATCATGTCTGCGTTATTAACGAAAAGTTAGGAGTTCTGAGAAATATTCCTTTTAGTCACGGTCTCAAAGGTTCCGAAACATTACGATGGTTAAAAAAATAATCATAGATTAAGCTCGTAAAAATAATAATATTGCGCCAAACATTGCCATTGATTAACGTATTCTACCTGAAGATAAAATCACCCTGATATTATATCCGGGCGTCCAAAAAAATATCCGGGATAAAATTAGATACAGTCGCGTCGTCTATGACAATTTGCCACCTCTGGTTCTCTATTTACTATACCGGGTGTTGCGTATTTAGTTAACTAACAAAATGCTGCTTAGAAAGTTACGAAATTCAAAGTACTTCCGGAGTGGGGGAACACCGAATTTTCTGAAAATCGTTGTAATTATTCTCTGATTTTATTTATAGTGGGATTCCAAAAAAAATTTGCACGTTAAGATATCTCCACATTTTCTCCTCTACAAGATGGCATAATTAGAATTTCATTATGATGATTCGCCTCTTGTCCGCCAGCATCCTTTATTTTTTCTTGGATACTTGCACTTGCGATTAGTATTTAATTATGATTCCTCAAATGTATAATCTGTCATACATTGACGTTGCCAAACCGTAGTTATTTCAAAAAAAAATTACCAAGTAGACCTTGAAATTATCAGATACCATATGGTTATTTGTTTAATATATCAAATTTATCGCAAAAACATTTTTATTTTTTCCTGGCTTTATTTGAGATGGGATTTTTAATCAAACTGCATGTTGTTATTGATACTTTTTATCCTCTACAGCAGGGCTGTCCAACTTAATGTGGCCCAGGGGCCACTTCAAAAAAAAAATGCAGTTTGGAGGGCCGCATTATAAAATCTTTCTATACAACATTATTACTGAGTTTTAATGGGTATATACTATACTATATGACATACATATATGTATACATGACCTGTGATGCGGGCCGCAAGAAAGAAGTTGGACAGCCCTGCTCTACAGAATTGCGTAACTTAATTTTCAATTCGAGGTACCTTCTTGCGACTTCCGCCACCTACTTGAACATCTGCTATGATTACCTCTGCTTATTTATGGTTATTGTTATTTCCACCAATAGAATTTTCATTTTGTCTTCAGGTTTCACCCTAAATTTTTATTACCTTATAATTTTAATACAGCATAAGGTTAGTTATCTTCAGGTAGAATACGTTAATCAACGACATAACTCAGTGAAATGTCGCTCGTTCGTGTTGTTCATGTCGATATCACAAAAATACCGTACATATGTGAGTGTATAGGGTGACCTATTTTCGATGATATTACGGGGTATCTCACTTATTAGTAGAGAGTTGCAGTTTTCGCAATAATTTGCTATTTTTTTTTTGTGAAAGAAAAGATGGTATAACAAAATTTTCATAGTCCGGTTCGTTTCTGAGATATCGAACAATAGCGGTGTGAGAGCATGGAATACCATGTCTGAATCTACCAAGAAGTAAAAGACCACGTGCATTTACTGCACAGAGGTCAGAGAAATTGGTGAGAAGAGGAAAAAATCAGGTTGGAATTTCAACAAGGAGACTGGCTCGTCAATATAGATCTTCTAAGTCTAAGACTACGATATCGTTGGAATTGAGGAGGAATGGTCTTAAATATCGAAATAAACTTAAGTGACCCAAATGCTCTCAAGCGCAGCTCCTTCGTATACCAAGAATGCTTCAGTCAACTGATGCCGGAAAAAACATTATTTTAGATGACGAAAGGTATTTCTCTTTGAGTAATTCTGAAATGAAGTGAAACGACGGATTTTATACCGACAACGTTGAGGAATGCCCTGGCAATATTAGATACAAACATAAAGCGACATTTGCAGATAAAATTCTTGTCTGGTGCGCGATTTCTAACAGGGCTGTATCCTAACCTTTTGTGGGAAGCATCATGCCGTTACTCAAGAGATACCCAAAACTATCTTAGATAACCCAACATAACTTTTGTTCCCAAAAACAATAATTATCCAAACTTGCCGCAGGCTCGCACAATAGAGGATTTTTGGCCATAACTGTTTAGCAGGGTTTATCATGTAGGGTTGGAAGCTCAATATGAAGAACAATTAAGACGGTGAATTTACAAAAAACTGAGAATTTGATCTATATTCCATCTAGGACCTCATAAGAGACATTCGAAGAAAGTTGCGTCCGGTAGAGCAGAATGCGCCATTCCACATAATTCGGTTGTATAGTTTAGTTAAGTATTGAGTTGTATTTATGATAGCTAGTTAGTGTTAAAATAAATCTCTTCATTAAACAAAATTCGAAAAATTTTTTGTGCCAAAACTTTCAGGCCATACAGTACGTTACGTAGATATATGAACATTTTGTGAAATTATGAATTTTCGGTTTATTATTTAAAATACATATCATGTGACATATATTTCTGCAAAGCTTTTAAAATATTCAATCAAACTAGAAAGAAATATACAGGGTATCCCATTAAGAAAGCAGGTTTGATTCATCGCTAAGAATTGATAGCTCACAGCACAGATTTGAGTACACAGTATTGTACTTAAAAAACTGTGGGAGGACCAGTTTTTATCTCTGCGATATGTTAAAGGATAACGGAGATATGAAAATTTTGTTTATACCATCTGTCTTTTCCAAAAAATGTAGCACAGTATTGCGCAAACCGCAACTCGTAAGCTAGATACTCCGTAATATCATCGAAAATGGGGCACCCTGTACATATTGTACATACATAATTATATTTTCTGACGAGTCCTATACATATGTATTTGTCAATGGGATAATCAACCGTTATCATTATCATTAAAAAAGCAGCGCTAAAACTCTTTATCATTATTTTCATCAACACTCTCTAAGATAGTCTAATCATGTTAGGCGAAAATACCGCTGGTTCGCGAAATACAAATTGTAAAGTCTGGTTTTATTGCTGCAAGTTGTTCAAGGGGGTATTCAGAATATGGACTCATAAAATGGGTACACCAATTTTAGTGGGAAAACTTTTTATTCGACAACAAAGAATAAGAAAACGTTTTTTTTGACATTCTATCGAAGTTGTTGGCAGGAACGAAAAAAACTCTTTATATAAGATTTCTAAATATTTATGAGACCTACAAAATGAGACTACACGGAAAAAGATCCGACAAATAGCAAAAACGTTATGGCAGAAAACCGAGGCAATCTGCAGGTTCTGGCACTTGTTAGTAATGCGACGATGGATATTTGAAATACTTCAAATTCATAGGATTCGTACTTCTAAATAACCACAACAAAATTGCAGTAGATTGGACATGTAGCTTATTGAGCAATATACAGGGTTAGTTTAAAGAGCATTTTTATAGCGAAATACACGTATTTACCTTGCCGGTATGAATCGCAAACCATTCCGGAAGATACATTTTATTTTTACGCAAAAAAGGATGGGTTACGTTTTTTCTTCTAAACAAATTTGTATTTTGAGTAATACGCAACAAAAGATGATAGACACATTTGTTTTAAAATGTGTATGTATAGTAACGTATGTTTTTCAAATATCGTAGCGCTTTTGTTCAATTACTCACAAATACGAAATGTTAGAATTTGTTTAGAAGAAAAAAACGTAACCTTTGTTTTTCGCTTAAAAATATACTAAGTGACATATAAATCCGAACACCCAGTTTAAATGGTTTTATTTTAATAAAATTTTGTATAAGTACTTAATGAAGCATAATAAGTAAACGATAAAAATTTCAAAATGATTGCCCTGCTTTAAAGCTCTTTGACCTTTAATAATGTGTTGATGCACCCTGATGTGCTACGCATTCTCCAACGCGCCTAGGCATGCTTCTGATCATGTGGTCAATGTCCTCCTGTGGTATCTCATTCCAGGCAACCACCAACTCCTCTCGAAGTGCTTCTAGAGTCTGAGGAGGACGTTGCAAATTGAGCAATCTCCTACCCATCATATCCCACACGTTCTCAATTGGGGATAAGTCTTGAGATCTTGGTGGCCATGGTAACAATGTGACATCATTATGTTGAAAGAAGTCTATTGTGGCTCTTGCAACATGTGGTCGGGCATTATCTTGTTGGAAAGTTGGATGTGCCAGGGTTTCAAGATAGGGTAAAAGATGGGGTTCTAGAACTTCGTGGATATAACGCTGCGCGTTCATGTTACCTCTGATGAAGATTAAACGTGACCTGGAACCATAAGCTATAGCACCCCAAACCATAACTCCAATAGGGCACTGATAGCAGCTGTCCCGTAATTTCGATCCGGAAAATTTTTTAGACGAAAAGCGAGATAACCGAGGTGTTTAATATGGAAACTGACCCAGGGGGGTCAGGAAATGGCGCTTCCACCATGGCAATGGAGATGGAGTCGAAGGAGCAGACCATAGAGGAGCTGAGAGCCGAATTGGAGATGGTTCGACAGGAGCTGTCAAAAAAGGACGATGATAAGAAGACCAATGAAAGATTGATGATGATCATCGAAGCCCAGCAGCGGACAATTACCGACCTAACAGTTAAATTAGACCTCCTACTGAAAACCCAGGTACCTTCCCATCTAAATATTACAAATTCTTCCCAAACACTTCCCAAAAATCCCAGTAAAGACAAAGCTGTCAATCTTAAGAGACCGTTAAATAACTCAAGCGATCTTTCCACAGACGACGATACACTCCCTGACGGTTTTACCAAGGTTAAGCCCCGTAAAACGCGACGAAACAAGACCGACACGACAGGCTTTCCTCCTCTCCCTTCACCAAAATCGCAGTCTGAAACATCTCATTCAACTGCAAGCGACTCGAATAAACAGCCTGTGCCTAATCTATCGGATACTTCCACGCCTTCGACATCTCAGGTACCAGAAGACACGACTGCACAGCCCCCACGCAAGGTACGTGTTACCCCCATCGTTCTTCGTGATGCTTCGAGATGGCGAGGCGTAAATCACAAG